CACTTGGTAGCCCAGGCTGGCCTCGAACTCACAGAGATCCGCCTGGCTCTGCCTCCCGAGTGCTGGGATTAAAGGCGTGCGCCACCACCGCCCGGCGCCTTCTACGTTTTAATGCATCCTCACATTGTCAATTTCACTTTAAAAATGACTCCATATAAACTGCATTTGTCTACTTCCCTTATATATAATTTCAGTACAGACATGTGGCTTAGTCTTCACCAATGAAATGCATTTATAAAAGGTATAGACTCAGAAATAAACTATGTGAAGAAATAGGCTATGAACAGGCCATTCATCTTGCTGGTGTGGGTGGCAACAGAGATGACGTAGATAGGGAGCTGATGGCAGCAGCCACACATTTTTTACTTAGACAGACCAATTGGTTCTGGAGTGGCAACAGCTCCTTAATCAGACTATATTTCACTATGTGGCTCTACAAGCAATTCCTATATTGCCATCTGGAGTCTATTACTGCAACCCTCTTGGTTGAAGAACAAACTAATATTTCTTAATACTTAACCTACTTTTAAAAATCTAGAACAGGTATTCTTACTATCAAAAATTGTGAGATATTGAAGCATTTGAAGTGAATACTGTTAACTGTCAAACTAAAGAAATGATAGCTGGATCAAAGGAAATTAATTTAAGAAGCATGCAAATGTTTCTTGAAGTCTGCATTTTTTTCAGGCTAAAATATACATATCAGCTTCAATTTATGTTCAGGTGACATCACTTAGACTCTATCTCTACCACTCTAAAATATTCTGAGGCTTCTCCTTCATCTTGAGATAACACATCTATTCATCCGACCTTGGATTTTACGGTGTCATTGGCTAAGCACATCATTCCATAGCCTCATATTGTACTTGTTTTCATCAAAATTCCTATGTTCTCTCCACACGTGTTGGACTATTTCTGTACTGCCTCAAAACATTCTGATGAAATTTCTGTCTGATACAAAATAGTTACAATGAATCTATACCTCCCAAGTGAAATCAACTGTGCAACTGTCAACATCTTCTGGATTTGTAAACTTCCCAACATAGCCTGAAAGGGTAGTAGTGCCATCTCTCCTTCCAGTGATATTTCTACATTGGTACCTCCATTTGATTTTTAATGGCACATACTACAGTGGTCAGGCAATCAAAGAAGAATGGCGTTGTCAAAAAACAGGCAAGACGATAGAGGAATGTAAGATTATACACCTCAGAGAATGTTGTCAAGATTGAGTATGATGATACATATCAAATGATGTACATTAACCAGTACCCAGAGAATGATATCTCCCTCTAATGCTATCAATTGCCCACCCTCATTTTGCGACCTTTTTTTGCTTAACCCTTTATACTAGGTTGGCAGTGACTGTTACGTGTACTATATAATTTCATACTTCCCACAATTTTTCATATGATGCTGCTCCCTCTGCCACTTTTCCCTCTGTGAGCTGCTGCTTCCCACTTAATCCACATCTGGCCAGTTCTTACAACGCCCCATTTTGAAATTGGAACCTTCATCCTGTTCTTCCATACTAATTTTATTTATAATTAACACTTTGTCATAGAAATATCACCATAAAACTCTAAGGTAATTGAAAGCAGGAACTTACTTATCTCTGCAATCACAGCCAAGATCCTGGAAGTAAGCACTTACTGAATTTTTTTGAGCCTGTGTGATACTTGAGAACTTTTCTTTAAATATTGTAAGTTGCATCAGAATCATTAGCATTTTTTTTCACTTATGAAATGGCTGCCTACATTGGTTAGGAATGGATAGCATTCATATGAACAGAAGAGTCTATAATGACTCATTTGATTCTTATATAAATAAAAAATATACTACTAATTATGCAGCTGATACCTCCAAATCATTAACTCCAGCTTTATAATACAATAATAAAACTAAATAGAGCAATACTCGTAACTCAATATTAACTCTAAACAACATAATTGAATATGAAACTACTTCTGAACACGGAGTTCTTTGATAGTAAAAACACAAACCAAGTTTTAAGCGTATTTCATGTTTGTTTAATGTATCCACAATATATGAGGAATACAGTGTTAAAAATGATGTTGAAGTCTACATAACTGATCACTTAGAATAGTTTTCAATTACACCATATTTGTAAATATCATCTTTCTGTTTTCACATCTCATTCAGTTATCTCTCTCTAGACACATTCCTTTACTTCATCAAATAGTTTGAATTTTTATTGTTTTGCTTTTATTTCATTTATTTGTTTATTTATTTATTTTAGTGATGAGGCTTGAACCCAGGGCTTCATATATATGCAGCACATGCTATAATAGTGGCCTACACCTGTAACCCCAAACATGTAACACTAAAGTGATGAAGAAGGAACTATATAAAAGTAGAGTCAGATGAGAATGTTGAAAGTTATATCAGCTGAATATTACTTCATTTAATCTTTCATTCATTCTTTCTCATTCCTCTCTGGTTTTCTCTCTTTCCTCTATCTCCAAATCTTAGGCTAGAGAGATACGGATCTTTATGGAAAATTAATCAATGGCACCCTAGTACCTAAAATACACTAGTATCAACAATGAGTATAATTATTTTTAATGTTTTGTGTTTTAAAATTAGTGGAATTTTATAATGTTATTTAAACAAATAATTTCCAAGTTGTTTGGGTGGTAGGTAAGTTTGAGCTTGGTTGTATTCTGTTTTATCAATACAGGATTTTGCTGTGTAGTTCAGGCTAGCCTAGAACTCCTAATCCTTCTACTTCAATCTCACAGGTATACATGCCTATACCCAAAACTTTATTTTTTCCATAATTCTAGCTTCTTTGAACAAAAAAACATAAAATATTTGCTACTCAAAATCTAATGAAAATATCAAGAGTTTTTTTTATGTAATTTAACCAGTGGCCAGTTAACCTGGCATTTATCAACTGCCTTAAGTTTTCAAAAGATTCGTGTAGCTCTATTAAACTACATACATTGTAGCCACATAACATATAAGAGCTGGGGTAGAAAAACAAAGTCAAATGGGTAAAGTGGAAAGATAATACTTCTGAATATAAAATGAGGCTAAAGGCAGAGGCAAAAGCATAATATTAAGGGAATATTAATAAGTTTGATACAAAACTTCCTCATCTATTTCTTTATTCAAGGTCCTGTTAGAGGCCTCCACCCGAGATCATGTATTACATAAGAAAACAAAAGTAGTATTTTCACTGCTGAATTGTTAATTGTGAGTACAATCTACAAGCAATGTTTCTTGAGTAGACAGATTACATAAAGGATCCACTAGGGTTGAAAAACAGCAGTCATTCAAAAAATTAAAGAAAATAAGACTTACTAGTACTTAACAGAGAATATATACTAGATTCCTCTTTGGATCCATAGGTTTGAATGGTATATGAAGTGGCTTAAAGGAGCAGTGAGATATTCACAATGCATATTTATTCATGTTCAGCATACTACAACACACTACAGTCAATGTTAGGTATATATTACTGATTATTTTATCTACTTTCAACCAAATAAGCCCTGAGAAAATGGAAACACAACTCTAAATGATTCCTATAAAGACAACAGATTGAAGATAATAGGATAATATCAATAATGCAAGC